AAATATTATGGCCCATGGGGGGATCGAACCCACGACCTTCGCGTTATTAGCACGACGCTCTAACCAACTGAGCTAATGGGCCTTGGAGAAACCGTGATTTCTGTAAGTTATCGTTCACAAATTCTTGATTAAATCAATACATGTATATTCATAAATCTAATAATCTCGTATATAACTAACAATCCAGCAACATAATCTCTCATACCAGGCACCTCTGTCTGACTGAGATATGAAAATAATGTATATATGTAAATAAATAAATATTCATTATATTATGAAAAACAACATCAGAAGAATTAAAGTATCATAAAAATGCAGAACAAGATGCAGTGTATTAAATAAAAATGATCTGAAATTATGGTTCATGTATGTTTAAATATAGAAATATGAAACTACTTTATCAAAGGTACAATAAAACAATAAATTTAAACTAGTGGTGAATGGCATCGTGCCTTTGGGCAAATTGCTGCAACTTCCCGTACCGTAATGAAATATTCGAGGAATATTAAATGTTTTCAAATATATTATTTTCTTAAATGCTGTAACTTATATATGTTTCAGAAAATTAAATAAAGAAAACTTAATCAATTGAGTTTAAAATGAAGGATATTGTCTAATATTTATAAAAATTATATAAGCTGAATTGCAAAGTCAAAATTAATTATTTTGAGTATATTAGTGAGCTTTATCATATGAGATAGAGAAACAATTAAAATTTGATTTAATTTTGATATTCAAAAAAAAAAATCCAAAAGCAATCGTTTCGACAACACAAGCAGAAAATCTTTAGAATCATTCAAATCGGATGCTTTTTCTCTCAAAAACTGCCATTTTTCGCACATTTAGCTCGGTATCTCCAAAAGGACTGGACCTGCCTTTGCCAAAAACTAATCACCACTTCTCCCGTCATTACAAATGGAATGTTTTTTGGATCATTCAAATCGGATGCTCCGTTCTCTCAAAACCTCAATTTCTATTTTCTGCACTTTTTGCACCGTATCTCCGAAACGGCTGGATCAGCCTTTGACAAAAACTAATCAGCACATCTCCCTATCACTAGGAATGGAAATTTTTCGAACTATTCAAATCGGTTGATCCGTGCGCCCGAAAACGTGAACGAAAAATTGTATCCATGCACACATACACACACATCCATTTTTCTGAGGTGAAATGTAAAAATTTTCAATTTCGACTTTCGAACGATTACAGTAACTTACCCAGCGGTAAGTTAATAATATCTATAATTAGTTAATAATATCTTTTTATTAGTTAATTATTCCGTTTTTATTAATTTAGCAAGTTGATTTAATATCACAACTGCCCAAAATATAAATTATAAAGGCACAAATTTTATATAAAATAAATAGAAATTATAAAAACCCAAAAGTCATCTACTTGTGTAATTTGGCAGCCGTTTCTTGAACAAACGTTAATGAAATATAAAATTTTCGCTCATATAAACATACTTCTTCTTATTTTAGTGACAAACAATTCAGAATGACAAAGCGTGCAGATAACAGAATTAGTGAATCAGATTTTCTGTCAAAAGCGAAAACTTCTTCTTTGGAAAGTTAATGAAATTTATCCTAAATATTATTGCAATCCACCAACCTGTGGTGATACAAATCTGTAAACATCAGGAGCGTACACCCAAACCATTGGATCCACTACTTTTCCAAGGCCACTTTCTCGGAGCACATGGACATCAATGTGTCTCAGCATATCGTCCCAGATAATGGGCCTGACTCCTGGCCAACGTCTGCGGACAATTTGGGCGACAGCCAGCACATGCGAGATGAAGAGATCGTCTCTAAAAATGAAAAAAAAAAACAAAAATAAATAATAGATGAGTAATTAATTTTTAAGAAAACACTGCTATAGTCAACGATAACAAACAATGAGCTTTTACTAATTTAATAACGCTTCAAATAAAATATTTGGCCCATGGGGGGATCGAACCCACGACCTTCGCGTTATTAGCACGACGCTCTAACCAACTGAGCTAATGGGCCTTGAATTTTGAACTGACTGTTCAGCAAACAGTTCGTTGATATTAAAAATACACGACAAATTCTAATCACAGATAAGCCTCGCTGGTGATAAAACGTGCTATTTCTATTATTAGAAAAGATTGAAAATCGATCTGATTTGCATTTATAGCAAATATGCATACATTTTCAATGTATACATCACAAATCGTCAAGTATCGGACGTTGTTTACATCAAAAATCCTCAAGTATTCAGATGCTAGTAATCTTAAATTTTGTAAGAATTAGGTGATATTTGATTTCTACTTGATCTACTCCTACCAACAATCATATTATTATAGTCTAATCATATTATTATTAATTTCAGTAGGCTAAGTTATAGTAATCGCAAACAAATCTAAAATGAAAATTTTTGCATATCTTTAAGTTAAGAATGGAATTTTATAGAACACGAATCAACCGATTGCAATAATTTTAAAAAAATTCGATTGCTATTGATGGAAGAAATGCTTATTAGTTTTCGGCAAAGGCAGGTCCAGACGTTTCGAAGATACGGAACAACTAGTGGGGCGCATGGCATCGAGCCTTTAGACAAATTGCTGGAACTTCCCGTACCAAAAATTATTTTTTTTTAAAAGATTAACATTTTTGAAAAAAAAAAATTACTCTGAAAATTTAGATTTTTGAAAAACTATAAATTTTTGACCATAATTTACTTTTTTTTTGAAAAAAAGACTTTTTGAAGAAAAGTGTATTTCGAAATATTTTGGAAATTCTGAACTTTTTTTCAAAGCAATCGTACTGCTTTAACTGCATAGAGACGAAATATGGAAGCACGTAAGCGTCGCGCCGCCGTCTAACGGATAAGCATTGGTACGGAACCCATAGGAATGTAAAGAAAATTTATACTTATTGTTGAATTGTCTATAAAATATCTGATAATTTAATGAGCATATGTCTAATGATCATTTTTTACCGCCAAATGGCATTTTTTTTCACTTTTTTCACTTGATCTCCGAAACCGCTAGACCTGCCTTCATGAAAATTTGATCAGTTCTTCACCTTGCTAATACAAGTAAAATGTTTTTTTAATTATTCAAATCGGACGCTCCGTTCTCTTAAAAACTGAGTTACCGTTTTTGGCACTTTTTGCCCTATATCTATAAACATTGAAAACATTTCTTGTGAACATACACATATTAGTTTTTTGTGGAATACGCTCGTCGCCCTTTTTTTATTTTATTATATTTTTTTATTTTATATATTATTTTCATATCTTCAGACAGGGGTACCTGATATGAGATATGAAAACAGTTTTCATATTTTATAATACATATCATTTGCCCATTTCATTTTTCATTAATATAATATTTATTATAATTAAAATATCTTCAAATATCTCTTCAATCTATTTCGTCGTCTATTTCTTTACAATATTTCTTTATTTTCTTAATAATCCTAATTTCCCAATTTAATAAACACTTATAAACTTACAGTATTTATAATATTCTTTTCAGAAATATTTAAAATAATTGTTATCAATTCTTAATTAAATTTTATTAATTATTGATAAATTCTTATTCATCTTTAAAATACGATACGCAAATCTGCAGCAATATACCATAAGGCACGATACCATGCACCACTAGTTTATTTTGTAAAATATGCAAATATTCTTTCTAATTTCCTTGTAAAATCAATAACTTGTCTAGAATTTGCATTATCCAATTATTCGATAAATAACCAATTAAAAATAAATCTCACCTTGGTATATTTCTGCACCGAGGGCACTCGCCCATTTGGAAGACTTCATCACAACCAATGTGCAAATGGGTTATTTCCGTACCTTCATGCAATTCCATCATTTGAGTTATTAAATCTTCTACTAAGGTCAAACTTTCGTTCAAACTAGGACATAACGCCTAAAATAAGAGAAAATATAATTATAGAACAGAACATACATTTATAGATACTTATTTCTTTCTTAATGTAATTAAAGTGCATTGGTAAATCCCAATCATCAGATCATTTACCATTTCATGATAGCAGTTTTTATTACTTTATAGTATTTTAAAAAGTTGTAATTACTGTTTAGAAAATATATTTCTGTTACCTGTGGCGAATCTGGCACTTCCCGTAAATGTTTAAAATCTTTGATTTTCAAGGCAAATTCAAGATGACCAAAAGTTTGTACAAGCGGAATAACATTTAAGTTGCTCTCTTTAGCAGCTTTCAAAATTTCCTGAAAAAAATAATAAGGTTAAATGATGATAGAGTTGGCTTAATAGTTGAATGAAACGGTTAATAAATAGCTTTTCAATTGGTTTTAATTGCCTTAATACATGTGAACTTAATTAGATTTAATTTACAGAAGATGAAATGATAAATATGCTTTGAGAAAAGACAGTTTTAGAAAAAGGAGTATTACAATATTCTTTTTCGCCACGTCAATTAGTGAACATATACTTAACATACTTTTGCCATATTGAAAATATAAATAAATTCGATGGTTTGTTACATAATTAAACTAAAAAAACTAGTTGGTGTTGATATTTTGCCTTGAGGCAAGTTACATGAACTTTCCGATATGTGTAATTAATTGACTTAATCAATAAAAAATAAATTAATTTATGAGTGATTAAAAGTATTCCGAGTGGAGTTATTACACATAATTGAAAGCGAACGAACACGTTAACTCTGAGTATTTTCTAAAAGCAAATTTTCACAAATCAATAATTTTTATAATTGAACCAGTTTCCGTAGGTCTTTAATGGTTTAGTTTAGTATATTCTTTAAGACCATGTAGTATATCGTTATACCAAGTAAATGGTCTAATTTTAATTTTAACAAACGTCAAAAAACCAATCATTTCTCAAACTTTGATGAATTTTTAAAATTAAATTACTTGTCGTAAGGCCGTAATATTTCTATAAGTTGTATAAGACTATGATATGTATCATCAAAAAAAGTTTCATAAAAATCGACTCAAATTTTTTTTCAACAACGAATTACAAGAAAACAGCTTGGTAGATTTTCACCTAAAACTAATCAGTATCATCCCAACTAATATCTTTTGAACAGTTTTTGATTTTTTAAAATCGATTCGGTAGTATGAGGTTAAATGCGGATGAAAAGTTTAACACATTTTTCCAAATTTCAATGAAACGGTTCGGCCGATCGTCGCACAAAATTGACAAGCGATAGTCCTCATTGAGACACATCGAATGGTTTTTAAATTTCTGAAATCGGTTCAGGCGTTTTTAAGCAAACGTCGATGAAAGGTCTAACTTGCCACAAAAACGATACTAATTTTTGCAAACTTTGACAAATTTTTAAAGCTAAACGAGTTGTCATAGGGCCGTAATATTTTAGTACAATCTAGAAGACTATGGTATCTACCGTCAAAAAAATAATAATAAAAAATCGTCAAAAAAATTTTTTTCAACACTTTATTACAAGAAAACGGCCCGGCCGATCTCTACCAAAAACACATCAGCACGATTCCCAACCAATATCTTTCGAATGATTTTTGAATTTTCAAAATCGATTCAGAACTGCAGGCTAAAACGTGGACAAAAAATTTTCACTTTTCTGTTATTTATTCACAAAGAAACAGCTTGGCTGATCGTCGCGCAAAATTGATAAACGCTAGTCCTCATCGCGATACATCTAATGACTTTTAAATTTTTCAAATTGGTCCAGGCGTGTTTGAGAAAATGGCGATTTACTCAACACACACACACATGCTTTTTCCAAATGTGGCCTCATTCGATTCAGAATGGCTTGAAACGTCGAGAAAACATTAGCGATTCAAATTTTTCTCCTTCGGGAAGTTAAAAAATTAGTTATAAAGTTGTTTCAATGCAAGGCTTGACATTCGTCATAAATAATGCAAGTGATACCGTTACTAGAATTGTCTCGTCATTTGCATTTAAATTAAGTGAAAAACTAAAATATCTATTGAACTAGTTTAAGAGAAAACAGTTTCATCGATTTGCGATGATATTTGGCTTGTCCTCGTTTTCTATAAAGGGATATGTGGAGTAAGGACTTATTCAACCTAATCACATTAGGTGGAACCACTTTGTAATATCGATTAGCTACCAATATTAAAATAATAAACTAGATGTAATTGATATATTGCCTCAATGTATCATCATAATATAATTTGCACGAACTTCCCGATATATGTTAATGTCCGGGAAGACCTAACTAGTTGTGTATGGCATCGTGCCTTAAGGTAAATTGCAGGAACTTCCCGTACCGTATTGAAATATTCGATGAATATTAAATGTTTTCAAATATATTATTATAAAATATTGAAACTTATAATATTTTATAGACAAAATATAAGAGCTTACGATAACTTTTTTAACTTCCCGAAGGAGAAAATCCAATTCGCTAATTTCTCGACGTTTCAGGCCATTCTGATTCGAATGAGACCAAATTTGAAAAAGTATGTGTGTGTGTGTTGAACAGATTTTTTGCCGTAAATCGACGTTTTACGATACGAAAAAAGGCTGAACCGATTTAAATAAATTAAAAGTTATTCGATGTATCTTGATGAGAACTATCGTTTGTCAGTTTTGCGCTACGATCGGCCGAGCCGTTTCTTTGTAAACCGCAGAAAAGTGAAAAAATTTTCGTCTAAGTTTTAGCCCGCAATTCTGAATCGATTTTGAAAATTCAAAAACCGTTCGAAAGATATTGGTTGGGAATCGTGCTGATTAGTTTTTCGTAGAGATCGGCCGGGCCGTTTTCTTGTAATGAAGTGTTAAAAAAAAATCGACTATTTTTATTATAATTTTTTTGACGGTAGATACCATAGTCTTCTAGACCATACTAAACTATTGGGGTGTATAGCATCGTGCCTTAAAGCAAATTGCTGGAACTTCCCGTACAGTAACGAATTGTTTGAGGAATATTAAATGTTTTCAAATAGATTATTAAAAATATTGTAACATTGTCTAATATTTATAATAATTATATAAACTGAATTGAAAAGTTGAAATTATTTCTTTAAAGTATATTAGAATATAATTAAAATAAATATCTAAATTATTTTCGATATACCAAAAAAAATTTTTTTCGAAAAAAAAAATTTTTGAAAAATTTTTTTTTTCGAAAATCAATTATTATGTTTAAACAAGCAGAATCATATAAATCGGACGCTTAGTTTCCTCAAAAACTGCCATTTTTGCACATTTAGCTCTGTATGTTCGAAATGGCTGGGCCTGCCTTTGCCAAAAACTAATAACCACTTCTCCCAATCATTGAATGTTTTTTAGACCATTCAAATCGGATGCTCCGTTCTTTCAAAAACTCGATTTCTACTTTCTGCACTCTTTGCTCTTTATCTCCGTAACTGCTGGACCTGCCTTTGCCAAAAACTAAACAGAACATCTCCCTATTGATAGGAATCGAATGTTTTTTGAACCATTCAAATCGGTTAATCCGTGCGCCCGAAAACGTGGACGAAAAATTGTATCCATACATACATACACACATACGCACACACACACACACATTGATTATAACAAGTTAAGAATTATATCATTCTAGATCCTCCCCCCACGATGTAATGCCTAACGGCGGTTTCCGTGGAGACCAGAGGCAAGGGCAAAGCGGAGGTTTTAGTCGGTATTATACCAGGGCGGTATCGAGTCCGACATACCCAGACAGAAGACCAGTCTGGGATGCATAAAGACATTTCCTTCGCGATACAAAAAAAAACACACACACACACATCAATTTTTTCTGAAGTATGCCAAAATGTTCAGAAACCTTCAAAACGTCGAGAAATGCAATAATTTTCGATTTCGATTTTTGGACGATTACAATAACTTACCCTACGGGAAGTTAAATATTACGACCCTACGACAACTCGTTCAACTTTAAAAATTCGTCAAAGTTTGCAAAAATTGGTATCGTTTTATTGGCATTTGTCAAAATTAGACGTTCTCTCAAATACGCCTGAACCGATTTCAAAAATTTAAAATCCATTGGATGTATCTCAATAAGGTTTGTCAGTTTTGTGCGACGACCTGCCGAGCCGTTAATTTGGAATAAAGTGTTAAACTTTTCGTCTACAATTAAGCTCATACTACCGAATCGATTTTAAAAAATCAAAAACTGTTCGAAAGATATTAGTTGGGCATGGTACTGATTAGTTTTAGGTGAAAATCTATCGAGCCGTTTTCTTGTAATTAACTGTTGAAAAAAAATTGAAGCCGATTTGTATGGAACTTTTTTTGGCGATATATATCATAAAACCTTCGAAGCGTGAAGATATGCAAGAATTTTCATTTTAGATTTTTGGACGATTACAATAACTTACCCTAAGGAAAGTTAATTAACACGATTCCCAACTGACATCTTACAACTTTAATTCCGAAAAGCGCAATTTCACTCAAGTTTGAACTTTCCTAAAATTTTCTCGAAAACCGCTTAAGCCATAAGCATACTTCGTACAGCAAAATATAAAAGTTGACGTAGAGCGCATTTAACAAAAAGTTGCAACTAATTACCTCCATTAGGCTCGCCCGTAGGTAAGCGGTTCCGGGTTCGATACCCACTTCGAGCAGCCTGTTGTCAGGCAGCAGTGACAACGATTTTCACTTGAAAATATAGATAGCAATATGTTTCCAAGTGAAAATAGCCCTTGTCGGGCATTGCTGCACCAAAAAAAAGTCAGCCCTATTATATTAATTCTAATAACAAAAATCATTAAATATGGTTGGATTAACCATCTAAAAAATACGAAGTAAGGAGAAGTTTCAGCCCAACAGCTCATAGGACGTAAGGTTCTGATTGCTATTAAAAATATATATATATAAAAAAAATTACCTCCATTAGTTCCATTGGTATAGTCAAGGAAAAAACAAAAATAGCTTTTTTGCTGTTTAATTCATTTTTTGTACTGTTGAATATTAAAAAATTGAACGCAATGGACATTTGTCACGTCAAGAACAAAAAAATGAGGTTTTAATCTAAAGTCTCGCCTTTGTACATCGTGATTCCATTCCGTTCAGCAACTGATAATTATCGCCATCATTAAAATACCATTTCGTCTTAATTCTTAAAACATACTTGTCCGTCGGCTAATAATCGCTTCTTGATTTATAAATTACTATATCGCAGAATATGAAGATGCAGGCGACGCCATAAAATTATATTTTGCCATTGGCATTGACACTTGATTAATTTGCAATAACAAGGTTGTTTCTCATAATACGCTCGCTGTACTTTACATACAATGTTGCAAAGATATTACATGAAGATTGTTCAATAGAGTCGGAATGGATAGTTGGATTTTATTTTGATCCGACAAAAGGATTACATTACTTTGGAATAAAAATCTGAACTTTTCTAAAGAATAAGAACTGTTATAAATAAATAAAAAAATAATGGAAAGGAAGTTTGATGAAAAAGATCATTTTATTCATAGTTATTACTTTAATTATTATATAAATTACGTACTAGTACCTAAATAAGTATAGAAACCTAAATATTATGATCATTAGAGTAATTATTAATTTCAGTTCAATGTTAATTTCTTTCATTAAAAATGTAAAGATTTTATTAATTAATAAAATAATGTATATTTTAATATAAAAACTAGTTGGTTTGGTATTTAGCCTTGAGGCAAGTTACATGAACTTCCCGATATGTGTAAATAATCGACTTAATCAAAAAAAAAATGTGTAAATAATATACTTCATCAATCCTACTTTAAAAAAAACGATAATAATTTTAGCAAAGTTTGACGAATTTTTAAAATTAAACTACTTGTCGTAAGGCCGTAATATTACAGTAAGTTCTATAAGACCATATGTATATCGCCAAAAAAAAGTTTCATGAAAATCGGCTTAAATTTTTTTTTCAACAGTTAATTACAAGAAAACGGCTCGGTAGATTTTCACCTAAAATTAATCAGTACCATTTGCAACTAATATCTTTCGAACAGTTTTTGATTTTTTAAAATCGATTCGGTAGGATTAGCTTAAATGTGGACGAAAAGTTTAACACTTTTTTTTCAAATTGCAAAGAAACGGCTTGGCAGATCGTCGCACAAAACTGACAATCGATAGTCCTCACCGAAATACGTCAATTTTTTTTTTTCAATAATTATTACAACTGCCAAATTATTAACATCAAGTAATATTGATAAATAATAACATAAATTTAAATAAATAAAAGTGCAAAGGATAAAATTTACATGAAAATAATATCCGTAATATGATTTGATATAAAATATAAGCAAATAATAATAAAAATAAAATTAATAAATAATATAAATAAAATTTCTGAATGATAAAATAATACTAGAAAAAAAAAAAAAATATATTACAAAATAACAATAATAGAAATAGTAAGATAATAATAATAATAATAATAATAATAATAATAATAATAATAATAATAATAATAATTTACAAATTTATGAGCTCGTTTGGAATTTTTCGTTTAAATACATCAAATGGCTTTTAAATTTCTAAAATCGGTTCAGGCGTTTTTGAAAAAACGTCGATCAAAAGTCTAATTTTGACAAATGCCAAAAAACGATACCAATTTTTGCAAACTTTGACGAATTTTTAAAGCTGAACCAGTTGTCTTAGGACCGTAATATTTTAGTATGATCTTGAAGACTATGGTATCTACTGTCAAAAAAATAATCATAAAAATCGTCGTTTTTTTTTTTTTTAACTTTATTACAAGAAAACGGCCCGATCTCTACCAAAAACTAATCAGCACGATTCCCAATCAATATCTTTCGAACGGTTTTTGAATTTTCAAAATCGATTCAGAATTGCGGGCTAAAACGTAGACGAACAATTTTTCACTTTTCTGCGATTTATAAAGAAACGGCTCGGTCGATCGTCGCACAAAACTGACAAACAATAGTCCTCGTCGAGATACATCGAATGGCTTTTAAATTTTTGAATTCGGCCCAGCCGTTTTCGAGAAAACGTTGATTTACGGCAAAAAATCTATTCACACACACACACACATACTTTTTCCAAATTTGGTCTCATTCGATTCAGAATGGCCTGAAACGTCGAGAAAACATAAAATTAGAGAATCGGTTTTTTTATGAAAACATAAACTTCTCCTTCGGGAAGTTTATAATATTACTACTACTATTTATAATATATTTTAACAATGTGTCTAAAACTGGCACAGATTTTACCTTGAAATAAAAGTTTAATTATGATCACTTAACTATTTCGAGTATATATAAATCGTTCGTTTTCTATTGATAAGATTTATTTTACGTCTTAAGGTCTTTTAAATATACTTAATAGCAATCAGAACTGAACGAGCTGTTGAGCTGACTTCTTAAACGACGTGACTTTTTTTTACAGATGGCATCCCGAACAGTTTTCCAAAAAGTGATTGACAATTTCTGTAATAGGGAAGAGCTGGGTACGGTTGTGCCAGGGTACAATAGTGACAGTCGTCATAACAGCTAAACTATACTTAATTTCATGTAGGGCTCAAAGTGAGAAAGATATAGTATATTAGAAGTTAATACCAGAAATTAGTTTTTGAGTAGATAATATGGCTAGGCAACGATATTTTGTTTTCAAAAGTGTGGTTTGGGTACGGTTGTAACATGTAGTTGTGGGTATTGTCCTTTTCGGGTGAAAATTAATCAGATAAAGGCAAGCCTCACTTAATTAAGCCAAATGCGGAAGAGAAAGAGTAAAGAAAATTCAAGACCAGAAAAAAATTCACAAACATTTCTTGTTAACTTTGTTTAAAAAATTATGTTTTGTTATATATGCCATATTATATTCATAAACGCTGTTGAAATGATTATGTTGTGTTGAGTAACTATTTCTGACAATAAATGTCTTTATAAACCATATTTTTGTTTATAGCTATTGTTTTAACCTATTTTTATGCCTATCATAACCGCCCCACTCGCACTTTTCTTGTATGCATTTAAGGATAGTATTTCAGTATTTCCACGTAAACAACATACTTCGATCCCAGCTAATAGATAAATTAAAAAAATTATGGTTGATCCAAAAAAATATTCAAAACATTTTTTCCTAAAGATTAATTTATTATTGCCGCAGTAATGCCGGGTAAAAGCTACTTTTCACTTGGAAACATATTGCAATCTATATTTTCAAGCGAGAACTGATGTCGCTGCTACTTGACTTCATGCAGGCGGCTATCCAACATAGAACCTCTAACTCTAGGACCACCGTTCTAACCACTAGGCCACGGTGGAACACATTAATATCTAATAATAATGTACATTACACGATTAATCACTAACCTTTATATCATCTTTTGTGTAAGCGTTTCCTGCCGCAATATTCGCCAGTCTTCCAGTAAACGGAGCCATATCTTCGTACTCCATAAGTACTCCAGTGGCGCCGAGCGATTTGGCCACGAGCATCACTCGTTTTATATATCCGGGTTTAGGAGGTGCCCCCTTGAGATCGAAATGAATCAGTATCCGCCGAGGAGGCGCCGCTATGGGGGCGCCGGAGCTGTCTATCAACTCAGTCGCAAACCCGAGACCCATGCGCTGAAGTTCTTTGTTCCATGAGGAGACCTAGAAATTAAGAATTTATGATTATTACAGACACACACACACACACACACACACACACACACACACATATATATATATATATATATATATATATATATACAGTGGCGTCGGAACCGTGTGGGCTGTGTGGGCTTGAGCCCACCCATGAATTTTGATGGGGTCAGCCACGAGACCACTGGCTGCCTATCAAAAAAAAAACGAGCCCACCCATCAAAAATTTGGTTCCGACGCCACTGTATATATATATATATATATATATATATATATATATATATAGATGAGTGAGTTCTTGAGGGCGATACATCAAACAAAGAAAAGGCAAAGATTTATAAAATAATCTTTAATTTCAAACGTTTCGACATTCAATTTAATGTCATCATCACGTTGGTTGGTTACATCTAGAGAAGTGTACACAACACTAGAAATTAGCACTAACATTTATACAACTAAGTTGTCAACACCATGCATTTTTTATAATTTTTGTATGATGTAAAAAGAAAAATGATAGTTTTATTTGAACAAAAATGTAAGTAGAATTATGTAATTTCTGCCACGACTTCTGTACTTTGCAAGTACCGAGGCATGTATATTACATAATTCTACTTACATTTTTGTTCAAATAAAACTATCATTTTTCTGTTTACATCATACAAAAAATTATAAAAAATGCTTGGTGTTGACAAGTTAGTTGTATAAATGTTAGTGCCAATCTCTATTGTTGTGTACACTTCTCTAGATGTAACCAACCAACGTAATATCCACTGATGATGACATTAAATTGAATGTCGAAACGTTTGGAATTAAAGATTATTTTATAAATCTTTGCCTTTTCTTTGTTTGATGTATCGCCCTCAAGAACTCACTTATATATTTCAACATCAAAATTAACTACTAAATCATATATATATATTAATAAGAATCTTAACTGGTCTGAACACGTGTCCAACCATTTATGCTTCAAATTAACGCGTGCATGCTTTATACTGCGAACCCTTAAATCAAAAATTGGATTATCCAGTTTACTTTCTATTTATTACGCAAATTTCTATTCACACATTGCTTACGGTATCCAATTTTGGGGTTTCTCTAATGAACTAATTAAAGTTTTTAAACCTCAAAAGAGAGCAATTAGAATTATTTTTTCACTATCCTCCAAGACATCATGCCGTAATATCTTCACCGAACAAAAAATTTCAACAGTACCGAGTATATTTGTTCTAGTCACACTTAATTTCATAAAAAATAATCCAGACTCTTTTAATTTGTCTTCGATGTCAAATACCAAGCACAATACGAGACATAAAATAATTAAAGGCAGGACCTATAAACTACACAGCTCCTTTAATACTATCTGCGGTATGGGTAAACAATTTATGAATAAACTGCCGTTACGTGTTCGTACCCTTGATAATAAAAAATTTCATAAAGTACTAAGTAATGCATTAAAGGATTTAACTTTTTATAGCCCTCTGGAGTTTTTAAATTTTGATTTTTTGAATTACTTTCCCGAAAATCTCAACTAATCATTAACGCGACTTTTCCCCCTCGAAGAAATTTCTTTATTACAGGCAGCAGCAAGATCGATGGATCGACGATGGCTAAAATCCCTACGAATCTACGGGCCCTAACTAACTGATGTCACCTACCAGCCACGTCTATGCCTACTATGCTCGTCACAACATAATTCGTTCGTTAAACTAAATACTTATGTTGCACTTCAAAATTACTATTATTATTATTATTATTTCTTCTTTGTTCTTTTTTTTTCTAATTTTATATGATTATTATTGTTAAAATACTTTTAATACTTTACATTAGTTAATTTAAAACTTATAATTTAAAAAAAAAACACTAAAAAATTGAGGTACAAAATATTGACTTTTTTTTTTTTCTAATTATTATCTTCATATGACTGTTATTGTTAAAATACTTAATAATTAGTTAACTAAAAACTTATAATTTAAAACACCTAAAATTGTGAAACAAAATTTTAATTTTTTTTTTTATGTGACTGTTATTGTTAAAATGCTTAATAATTAGTTAACCAAAAAACTTATATTTTAAAAACACTTAAAATATTGTGAAAAAAAATACTTCTTTCATCAAAATACCTAAAATTTGTAAAAAAAAACTTATATTGTAAAAATATTTAACAATAATAATGAAAATGATAGTGATATAATAATAATATAAGACACTTAAATTTGTTAAAATATCATAAAATGACCTAAAATTTGTTAAACAAAATAATTATATTGTAAAAGTATTGTAAAGCTTATTGAAATACTTATTAAAATTTTTAAAAAAATACTTGCAACAAATAAACTAATTATATTTATAAATAATTAAAATGAACTAAATATAAATAAGTTTTTAGTAAATACATTAAATAATAAATAAATAATAAAATAGCTAATAGTTAATTATATTATATTAAACCTATAAAACATTGACTTAAGCCTTATTATAATATTATTATACTGACGGCTTGTAAAATTAATAAATAATAAATAAATAAATAAATAAATAAATAAATAAATATATATATATATATATATATATATACTTTTTTATTCACCCATGACTAAATCATTGATTTTCCGACTTGCTAATTTTATGTTTTCTCGACATTTCAAGTCATTCTGAATCGAATGAGACCAAATTTGAAAAAAGTATGTGTGTGTGTGAGTGCGTGTGTGTGTGAACAGATTTTTTGCCGTAAATCGACGTTTTCTCAAAAATGCTGGATAGATTTCAAAAATTTAAAAGCCATTCGATGTATCTCGATGAGTACTAGCGTTTCTCAGTCTTGTGCGACGATCGGCCGGGCCATTTCTTTGTAAATCGCAGAAAAGTGAAAAAATTTTCGGCCACGTTTTAGCCCGCAATTCTGAATCGATTTTGAAAATTCAAAAACCGTTCGATAGGTATTGATTGGGAATCGTACTGATTAGTTTTTGGTGAAGATCGGCCGGGCCGTTTTCTTGTAATAAAGTTTTTAACTTCCCGTAGGGCAAGTTATAGTAATCGCAAAAAAATCGAAAATGAAAATTTTTATATATCTTTACGTTTCAGAGGTTTCTGAACATTTTGGCATACCTTAGAAAAAATGGATGTATGTGTGTGTGTGTGTGTGTGTGTATGTATGTATGTATGTGCGTGTGTGTATGTATGTGCGGATACAAATTTTCGTCGACGATTTCGAGAACACGGATCAACCGATTTGAATAATTCAAAAAGCATTCGATTCGTATTGATAAGGAGACGTGCTGATTAGTTTTTGGCGAAGGCAGGTCCAGCCGTTCCAAAGATACGGGGCAAAAAGTGCCGAAAACGGTAACTCAGTTTTTAAGAGAACGGAGCGTCCAATTTTAATAATTCAAAAAACATTTTACTTGTATTGACAAGATGAAGAATTGATCAAAATTTCATGAAGGCAGGTCTAGCGGTTTCGGAGATCTAACGATAAAAGTAAAAAAAAATGCCATTTGGCGGTCAAAAATGATCATTAGACATATGCATATCAAATTATCAGATATTTTATAAAGATTTTAACAATGAGTATAATTTTTTTTTACATTTTTATGGGTTCTGTACCAATGCTTATCCGTTAGACGGCGGCGCGGCAGTTGCGCGCTTTGACATTTTGTCTCTATGCAGATAAAGCAGTACGATTGCTTTGAAAAACAGTTCAGAATTTCCAAAGTATGTCAAAATGAAAAAAACATTTTTTTTTTCAAAAAAATTTTGTTTTCAAAAAAAATTTTTTTTTTCAAAAAAAGTAATTTTTTGTCAAATTTATAGTTTCTCTCTAATTTTTTCGAAGTAAAATTTTTTCAAAAATGTTAATCGTTTTTAAAATAATAATTTTTGGTACGGGAAGTTCCAGCAATTTGCCTTAAGGCACGATGCCTTAATTGCCTTAAGACAGAATTCCACTTACAGCTAGTTAAAAAAAAAATTCGACGATTTTTATGATTTTTTTTTTGACGGTAGATACCATAGTCTTCTAGATCAGGGCTTCTTAAAGTGGGGGTCGCGACCCCCAGGGGGGTCGCGAGACTACTGAAAAGGGGTCGCAAAGATCTGATACTTTTCAATCATTATAAACAAAATTTTAAAATTAGTATTATTAGGCCGACTATTTTCACGATAACTTATGGCTTCTCAAGCTATGCTATTTGGCCAATATTTTTGATAAAATCAATGATATGAATTTATCAATGCAGGGATTCTGCGTTAATATGTTTATGTTAAAAAATAAACTTAAGGCCTTTGTTAAAATAATTCTTATATGGAAAAACAGAATGGAAAGTGGATCGCAAGTGGATTTCATTTACTGACGAGTATATAATTAGTAACAATATTTCAAAAAAAGATACTCCTATAACAAAAATTATAGTTAATCATTTGAAGAATATAGAAGTTTACATCCATAGGTATTTTCTCAATGATATCGATACACAACATAAGATTTGCAATCCATTTTCAATTGAAATGGAAGAAATTAATTTTTCAAATTTAAAAGCACAAGAGGAATTTACCGATATAACAAGTGATACTACCTTGCAACTCAGATTTTTTCAAGTGTCTGTGCATGAATTTTGGATTGAAATCAAATCAGAATATTATTGCCATTTTGTGCAACATATTTATGTGAATCAGCCTCTTCTACATTAACTTACATAAAATCAAAATACCGTTCAATTTTAATAAACGTTGAAAATTTATTACGATCTGCACTAACAAATTGAGCTTAGATTTAATTATTTGTGTAAAAATAAACAATCACATTCATCACATTAATATTGTTTGATGTTAATAATAGGTTTTCATTAAAAAAAATGTTACAAAATTTTATTTTTTTATTGAATATGTAGATATAGTTTTATGTTTTCTTATAAAGAATTTGTTACAAAAGTTTATTTTTTCTATTGAATATTTTCTATATATATGAAAATAAGTCGGGTTTTCCTTTCTCGCACAAACCGATTTCGACAATTTTGCATTCGTTGGAAAGGTCTCGGGCAAGGTTTATAGCTAAGAAAATTAGTGGTGCATGGCATCGTGCCCTAATGCAAATTGCTGGAACTTCACGCACCGTAATTAAAAATTTGAGTAATGACATTAGTGAGAATTATCAGAATTATGCTTGGTTAAGTCAACGAGCAATTCTTGCCGCAAAGAATAATGATGTACACGCACTGAATATCACCATTCAATCAAAAATTGCTGGCGATTTGGTGACATACCAATGATTCCGACTGGTCTTCCGTTTGACTTCAAACGATTGCAATTTCCAGTTCGCCTTGCGTTCGCAATAACAAGTCGCAAGGCCAATCGCTTAGTGTTTGCGGGATAAATTTCAAATACACAGTTTGTGTTTGACCTCGGAGCAGGTAACATCGACAAGTGTTCAGTGAATATATATTAAAAAAAGTGACGTAATGGAATCCGGACAATACGGACAAGAAGGCGGACGGCCGCCCGATTGTTCAACAAAGTGTTCGGTAATCGGTGAAACAATTGCAACGGCAATGAATACGATAAATGATAGTTTTGATAATGAAATGTTAATGAGTGAAATTAGTGAAGAAGAATTAGAAGTACATTATAATTCAAACAAAAATCCTAGTAGCATCATGAGTGAGGTAGATGTAATTAAGAACAGATTATTACATAAGTATAAAAAACATACCAGAATTTCTGCAATATCAGATAGTAAAGATAAAAAGAACAGTAACAAAAATAAAACAATTAAGGAAGATAATAAATTAAAAATTATGAATAAAGTAATTGGCAAAAGTGCAACCAAACTTAGAAGAACCGAAAATATTATACATACTGTTGGAAATAATAACAATGACACGGCGTCTAAGATAACAAATAATAGTGATATTTCAAATTATAATAATAGTAATGGAACAAGTAATGAAAGAAATACTATGGTATCGAATATTGTAAATATCAATCAGAATACTGAAGCAAATCGGAACAGTCAAGAATTAAGTAGCGTTATGCAATTTGATGAGTGCGATAAGGATTTAAGTGAAACAACAACTTATGCAAACAACGAAGAAATGACCAATGAAAATATTAGTGCGGGGTCGAGTAATACCGAAATAAATGATCAGAATGATAAAATGTTGCATGACTTTCATGAGTTAGATAACGTAATGCAATTTGATAATTGTGGTGAGGACTCGAGTAAAATAACAAAACATAATGACAAAGAAAACGAAATGATGCCCGACAATTACGAACAGGATAAAGTACGATATGACAGTTACGATAAAGGACCATATATAATATACGTAGAATCTTATAATAAAAACATAGGACGCCTGCATCCTATGGCACTTGGAAAAAAAATTCATGATGCATGGCCAAATATGAAAACAAATTTGGAAGAAATTGGAGTAATTGGTAAAAACAAAGTAAAATTGATTTTAAGTAATGGTGTGACAGCTAATAGACTATTAGATGGTGATTTTTCAAATCGAATAATCTAAGAGCGTATATCCCCAAATATTTAACGGTGCGGACCGGAATCATTTTTGACGTAGATAGCGAATTATCTGAGGAAGAAATTGTGGATGTCATCGAATCCGAGTATCCGATAGTGGGAGTTAAATGTATAAGATCGAAAAAGAAAATCATAAGACATACAAATCACAGTGTGTTAAACTCACTTTTAAAGGGACAAAATTACCAGAAAAAGTAGCGATCCACTCTGTTAAATGCCCAGTAACACCATTCGTGAAAAAAGTAATACAATGCCACAAATGTTGGAGATTCGGCCACGTTCGTGATCAGTGTCGAGGAGAGGTAAGATGTCCAAAATGCGCAGAAAATCACGCCTTACAAGATTGCATAAATACGGACGATTTAAGATGCTGCTTGTGTTTTGGTAAACATGCAGCATATAATAGGGAATGCCCAATATTTATGAAATATAAGAAAATATATGAAATAATGGCAACACAAAACTTAGCTTTTCACGAAGCAAGGTCAGTTGTAGAAAACAACAAGTATGCCAGAATAACCAGAGGTAGTCTAACCAATTTAGACAAAGAAAAGAATTTCCCAGTGATAAGCACAGAAAGCAGGAAAAATTTACAAATTAACAACAACATTCTTAGAAATAAATTTGAAATTTTATCTGACCTGGAAGATAACAATGATGAACCGGTATCGGCCAGCACATCAATATTGTACAGTACATCTACAAGACCCTTCAAGAGAAACATTGCCAAAAAACAAGAAAGAACCAAATATAATAATATAATTAATAGAAAAGAAGATAAATCAAAAGGGGAATCAAGTGAAAGGAACAGGGTGCATACAGATAGGGAAGGTTTTAGAGAAAAATATCGAGTATCCACTAGGAATGAAGTTGATAACAAAGACAAAGAGAAAGAAGTAGATACCATAAAGAACGTCAATGAAGAACATACCGATGAATTTTTGAATTTATTTATCAAACTAGTTAAAAAACACTACAAACCTAATAATAAAGACATCAACAAAATGTTAAGAGAGGTAATGAATAGAATAGGTAGTGAAGGAGATGTGGACAACAATAAGAGAAATTAAGGTTAATGAGCGCATGGAAAATGTGCAAAAGAAAATTATACAATCACAATTACAATTATTTTATGGTAACAAATATTCTACAATTCAACCGTAGGTCTTTGATACATAACAAAAGTAGTATTGAGCATTTCTTATTTGAAAACAAAGTACATATTGCTACATTTTCAGAAACATGGTTGAAGAGTGATAGGAAATTTTCGCTCAGGGGATATAAGACTGTGCGCAGTGACAGAAAAGATGGGTATGGTGGTACTGCAATTCTAGTTAAGAATGAAATAATTATAAACAAAGTATTAGCTTTTAATACGGGAACAATTGATATAAATAAATTCCAAATATCTGGTATAGAATTTTGTGCAGGAAAACATCAACTATCTATAATTTCGGTATATATTGTACCTAACTATAATATTTCTGTTAGTCAATGGAATGATTTATTAAGTCAGATATCCAAACCTTACATAATTTGTGGTGACTTTAATGCACATCATATGGCATGGGGGTGTAATTGGAATGATAAGATTGGCAATAACTTATTGGAAGTTATTAATGACAACATTTAATTATATTAAATGACGGGAATCCGACTTTGAATTTTAAGAATAGTTCGACAGTGGTAGACATTACATTGTGTACTCACGAGGTGGCACATAAAATTGTATGGAATGTCAGGAAACATTCTCTTGGATCTGATCATTATCCAATAATGATGCAACTAAGAGAATCACCTATTATAAATAGAACTAGGGAATATTGGAATTGCAAAGCTGCCGACTGGACAAAATATCAAAAAGTAATTGAGTATTACTCAAATGATTTTGAAGTAAATGACCCGGTTGTTGCTTATACAGAATTTATGAACATAATCAATATTGCAGCGGAGAAAAGTATACCAAAAAAGAGAATATGCTCCAATATCAAACACTTTAAACCTATTTGGTGGGATAATGAGTGCGACGAACTTATTAGGAAAAGAAGAGACGCAGAAAAAAATTATAGGCAGAAATCTAACTACCATAATTATTTAATATGTAAAAACATTAATGCTGAAATCAGAACGATATTCAGAAGAAAGAAGAGAGATAGTTGGCATGAATATACAAATAATATCAAACCAAATACGTCTACCAGGGAAGTATTTAGAACAATTAAATGTTTGAAAAAATATATAGAACCTGAAAATTTACAAGAAAACGTTAACCCAATGATGATTGATAATATTATTGATACTTATGCTCCATCTAGTGTTAGAAATGATTATTTCAATGTGGATAAAAAGGTTTTTGGACGCGAAACATTCCTATTAGTGAAACCTTTACATTGTGGGAATTAGAAATTGCTTTAATTAAAGGTACTGATACCGCACCAGGTATGGATGGAATATTTTATTCTATGCTCATAAACTTGCCAATGGTGGCAAAAGAGATTTTACTAAAATTGTTGAATAAAGTATGGACAAATCCGGAAGTAATTGGGGCCTGGAATAAGTATATACAATTTTAATCAAAAAACCTAATAAAGATGCGAATGAGATCTCCACGTATAGACCGATTTCTCTTGCATCCTGTGTTCAAAGGTAAGGACAGAATGATTTAAAGAAGACTGGAGTGGTGAGTGAAAAATATGGAATACTACCAAAAAGTCAATTGGGCTTTAGGAAGGGTATGGGAACACAGG